ATGAAATCCTTGGTGTTAACACTCTTTCTGGTCTTACAAGTTTCTGCAATTCATCGTTGAAGACAAGGATGTTTTTCAACGAGGGAGTATTTGTTACATGCCAATTTATTGTATTTAATTTTGTGATGGGCTTGCTGTTTTTAATTCTTGAATTGGGCCTGTTCATTTTACCAATTGTATGGCCGCGGCCTTTTGCTTATTGCTCAACTATTATTTTGTCACAGAGAGTGAGTGTGCTGTGTAGTGGGGAGAATGGAAGTTTACAGTTGGTATTGTTGTGAAACCAACTTAAAAATAGAAGCATGAGAATTGTAAGGATTCTGTTATGTGAAATGAAATGAATCTCCCATCTCCTTAAAATTTCTTCTTCTCTTTATCTAGCTTTCTTCTCTATTCCTTTCTCTGTTCTTTCATTTTTGTATTTTAGTTACAAAATTTATAGTCCGTAAGAAAGAGAATGCATCAGAATCTAAAATAGCGAGGTCGAGTATCGTATTAGGGTTTTATTAGTCTTCCGGGTTGGTGTTTTCCGGTAAGGAGTCGTCCTCGGACACGACATCGTTAGGATTGTCGGGGGTGTCCTGGGGGGGCTCCATTTTGGGGTTTTAAGTCAACGGTTTATCACGAGATTATGGTTTTGGGTATTAAAACTGTGAATTGAAGAAAATCGGGTCGCTGTACGTTTGTCCATGAGTTCAGATACTCCCATTGCACCAAAGCCCAATATTCATTATTTTGGAGTGAACTAAAGCCCAGAGTTAAAAGAGTTTGGGCTTCTATACTGAATGATATTAGTAATTAGAAGAATCTTTCACTTCAACACAGTACCTACTTGAGCCTCTTATCTCAAAATCTTATTTCATGGTGCCATTTGTTGAAGGCTCAGCAGTCCACTTACATTGAACCATTACGAACAGATATTTTTGTTTCGGTCTTTTAGGGATTTGTGATTGAAATACAGCCAGGACTACTAAAAATATTGGGCTTTTGGCCCAACCGGGAATGATATGAACTAATGCTTGTCAGTTTTTTTTTTTTTTCGATTTTTAATAAGGCCCAGTTAGATAGTTTAACAAAATATTTTGGTTTGAAGAATTTCAGGATTACAAATTTTGAAACTTTCATCTTTCTTTAACTTTTTTATTTAATGATTAAAATAATTTTTTAAAAAAATAGATGAGACCTCCTCATTTCATATCCTATCCACTATCCAATGAATAAAAAAAAAAACCTTTTATTTTAATTTTGTGGCTCTTAGTTCAGTACGAAGTATTAATTTCTTCCTCGGATTTTCCAAAAGAGAAAAAAAAAAACCAGGTTTCTTTGGCAATATTACTTGGTGCGCTCAAAATGTGAAGCTTATGTATCGTGTGTCTATTTCTGAAGCTAAAGTTACCAGAATAAGAAGATATTTAAAACGAGTGGATAACATGATGAACACGTAGTTGCAAACACTGCAATATCCAAGTCCATGGCGTTTCTTTATCCAACTCTCTTATATCTCCGAAAATCAAATGTCAAACGGAGAACCTCATAATCAAATCAACCCGCTCTACACATCATTTTGGTTTCCTGCAATTCACATTTACTGATTTCAGTTTCACGCACCATCTCAACATATAACGAAAGCGTGCTATTAATAATAAACGGAATCCCAGACCAAACCGACACTCTCAGACTCTCATGCCATCAATGGCCAACACCTTGCTCTCATCAAACTTCCTTGGAACCCAACTCTTGCTGTCTCCACCAACTCCAAAAACAAGAACGTTCCAAACAACTCAATCTATCATCAACAAGAAAGCCAACTCAAAGCAAACGTTTAAAAACCTACAATCTCATGCCACTGTGTCTCTAGCTGCCTTACTCTTCTCTTCGGTAACCGCACATGCACTGGCTGTTGATAACGCCCCGCCCACACCCCCGCCCGTAATCGAAGCCCAGCCAACCAAACCAAGCCCATTGAACCAGTCACCCTTCTCTCAAAACCTCCTCTTAACTGCTCCCAAGCCTCAATCTCAATCCTCTGATCTTCCAGAAGGCAGCCAATGGAGGTACAGCGAGTTCTTGAACGCAGTCAAGAAGGGGAAAGTGGAGAGAGTCAGGTTCAGCAAAGACGGTTCTGCCCTCCAACTCACCGCCGTTGATGGCCGTCGAGCCACCGTAATTGTCCCCAATGACCCTGACCTTATCGACATTTTAGCTATGAATGGCGTCGATATTTCGGTATCCGAGGGTGATTCTGGTAATGGGCTTTTCAATTTTATTGGGAATCTGCTTTTCCCTTTCCTTGCTTTTGCCGGATTGTTCCTCCTCTTCCGTCGGGTTCAAGGTGGGCCCGGTGGCCCCGGTGGGCTTGGCGGACCCATGGATTTTGGAAGATCCAAATCCAAGTTCCAGGAAGTGCCAGAGACTGGAGTTTCCTTTGCTGACGTAGCTGGAGCTGAGCAGGCAAAATTGGAACTCCAAGAAGTTGTTGATTTCTTGAAGAACCCAGACAAGTACACAGCTTTAGGAGCTAAAATCCCAAAAGGTTGTTTATTGGTGGGCCCTCCTGGTACTGGAAAGACGCTATTGGCTAGAGCAGTAGCAGGAGAAGCCGGGGTGCCGTTTTTCTCATGCGCAGCTTCAGAGTTTGTGGAGTTGTTTGTTGGAGTAGGTGCGTCCAGAGTGAGGGATTTATTTGAGAAGGCAAAATCGAAGGCGCCTTGCATTGTATTCATAGATGAGATTGATGCTGTTGGGAGACAGAGAGGAGCGGGTCTTGGAGGAGGAAATGATGAGAGAGAGCAAACCATCAATCAGTTGTTAACTGAGATGGATGGATTTTCGGGGAATTCGGGTGTCATTGTTTTGGCAGCAACTAACAGGCCGGATGTTCTTGATGCGGCTTTATTGAGGCCCGGCAGGTTTGACCGACAGGTTACAGTTGATAGGCCTGATGTCGCTGGGAGAGTGAAGATTCTTCAGGTTAGCCATTTATCAACTATTACTTGCTTTACTATTTTCACTGTAGTTGGCATAATTGAGTAAAAGGAATGCGTCCACTTGGAAAATAATGTTAGAGTTGTAACATCAAATAAAGTTCCCAGTTCTCTCTCAGTTAGAATTGCAAGTCTCCATGAATTGCTCTTTCAAAATCTTTGTTATCGTTCTTTAGAAATTTACCGTAGATAATTTGTCAGGAGCTTGAACACTCACCGTCAACCATTTGTTTGGTTCTATGTTGTGTTCCGAACTTCTGTTAATGCCTTCTTAGGTAGCAGGGTTAGTATTTCCTAGTAAGCTTTCCAATATTGCATTGCGACTTGCGAGGAAAGTACTTCAACCTTAAAAACATAGTAGATCCTTTTTTCTTTTCATGAAATCTATTGCTCTAATGGCAGAATCATGTTAAACTTGATTTTTTTTTCATGAAATCTATCCTTTTACATTGTTGAGTTGCTCACCTTTGACCCTTTCTCTGAGTCTTTCTTGATCCATGCTCTTTTATATTGTAGGTGCACTCTAGGGGAAAGGCACTTGCTAAGGATGTCGACTTTGAAAAGATTGCAAGGAGAACCCCTGGTTTCACTGGAGCTGATTTGCAGAACCTGATGAATGAAGCTGCCATTCTTGCAGCTAGGCGTGATCTCAAGGAAATAAGCAAAGATGAGATATCTGATGCTCTAGAGAGGATCATTGCTGGACCAGAGAAGAAAAATGCTGTTGTCTCAGATGAGAAGAAGAAATTGGTTGCCTATCATGGTATGCATTTGTTCCCTGGTTCTTTCTTTGTCTATGATTTTATGCTGGGTATTTGACTTTCAGTAAGCACTTCAATTTGCAGAAGCTGGCCATGCTCTAGTTGGTGCACTTATGCCTGAATATGATCCTGTAGCCAAGATTTCTATTATTCCTCGAGGTCAAGCTGGTGGCCTTACCTTTTTTGCTCCAAGTGAAGAGAGGCTTGAATCTGGTCTATACAGCCGAAGCTACCTAGAGAACCAGATGTCTGTTGCACTCGGCGGAAGGTTAGTTACTCAAGTTTTATCTCAGTCTTAAAAAATTGGTGTGAGGAGCATGCCCAACTTATCATAGGCTGTGTTTGGTGTTGGATGAGATAGGATGATCAGATAAGATTTGTGCCTAACTAAATCCTATGTTAAAAAGAAGGCCAATATTTTTAGTTCCAAAATCTGTCACCAGTGGTAGGAACTGCAAGAACTGTATTTGTTGGTTGCCTGCGTCTTTCTATTCTATCCATCTTATAATCTTATTCAAAGAGCTTTCTTCTCATTACTTGTACAGGATTGCCGAAGAAGTAATCTTTGGTGAGGAAAATGTCACAACAGGAGCATCAAATGACTTTATGCAAGTCTCACGAGTGGCAAGGCAGATGGTTGAAAGATTTGGATTCAGCAAAAAGATTGGACAAGTTGCAATTGGTGGACCTGGCGGAAATCCATTCCTAGGTCAACAGGTGATGTTCTTTAATTTTAATAAGTACTAGTAGTTATGTCCGTTACCTGCATGATGTCATGTCATTTACCAGCTTCTGTTCTTGCCTTTTGCATAATCTGACTCGTAATTCCATTCTAGATGTCTTCTCAAAAAGACTACTCCATGGCAACTGCTGATGTGGTGGATGCTGAGGTAAGGGATCTAGTAGAGACTGCATATTCAAGGGCAAAGCTGATAATCACAACCCACATTGACATTCTCCACAAGCTTGCTCAACTTCTGATGGAGAAAGAAACTGTCGATGGGGAAGAGTTCATGAGCCTCTTCATTGATGGAAAAGCTGAGCTATATGTTTCTTAGATTGTATATTTTAGGTTTAAGACTCCATTGGGTACTCGTACTACTACGAAATGTTCTAATTGATCTGTATACTTTCATTGGGAAAAATCTCTTCACTTTTCTTCGTGTAATCAAAGAACGTCAGATTAGGCTGCAACACTACACGATACTTGGTGCCAATGTGGCACTTTTTTATTGAAATTATGATGCGGAAATGAAAATTGGAACAGTGGCATTTTTATTTATTATTAAATTTAGTGATGTGATAATAAGAAATAGAAGAAAATGACATTTTCTTATGACACAGATCCCCCTATATTAACAAGAACGACCCTAAAATCAGTGAATGATTCTAACAAGAGAAGTTCTCTTTTCCCCCTTGGCATTACAACAAGCTTATGCTCCTTTCTTCAGGCTGGTTTAAGTAAATGATTTTTACAGCATGATGCTATCGCCAGGCGCTGCTGTACTATCATTTTCACACTTTGTGAAGCTATTTTTCATGCATGGAAAACTCTGTATGCTCCATTAGCTTAGAGACTTCAGTGAGACGTTGATTTGCACCTTAGTTTTCTTGTTTTTGGAGTTTTTCTCGGCTACATTCCTGAAAAATACGTGGGAAAGAAAAAACTATAATCAGCAAAATCAATTATTTCATTAAAATCACCAAAAAAAAAAAAAAAGGAAAGAAAAGGTGATGGCAGTGCATAAAAAGTGCCTCCCTCCCCGGATATGACATGCTATATTTGCATGAAACCACAATTCGAATTTCCATCATACATGAATCTCACATGTTTGGTTACAACAACAGCAACAACAATTGATCTAGCACCTTACAAAAGAATATTACAGAGCCCAGACTTGGAACTTCTCAAGATCCTTTCCCACCCCGTTGCCTTTTTTCTTCTAGTGCAGCAGCTTCATTCAACATGTCAGCTGCATCCTTGTGCATGTCTAGCTTGGCCAGGGCAACAGCCTGCATGTAAAATGCTGTGGACCAGTCAGGGTAGACACATTGTGCTTGCATTGCATCTCGAAGGGCAGCATCTGGTTGATCACAGAGAAGATGACAAAGACTTCTTCGTGCATAAACAGTTGGAGAAACCATGGTTCCAACATCTATGAACTGCAAAGAAAACGGGATCAGATTAACCATTAATGCATAAAATTGCTATCGATTTTTTTCCTTTTGCCAATTATCTATTGAGCTGCCAAAACATACTCCAATGCGTGATGTATAAGAAGCAATAAGGATCTCAAATTTCCAATTTGCTTGCTTTATTTCATCAAACCTTAAACTTCCCCACCCTCATTTTTCTATTGAGCCAAAAATCCCCAGGGTCCAACTGAAAAAATAACAGAAGCACCATGAAGTACATTAATTGGGTCAACAGTCCCTAGGCCTTTTGGGACCTTGCAATTGCTTTGCATGAACATCATCTTTTCATCCCAGTAAGAAATGGAATATATACCTGAGAATAACAATCTATAGCAGTTCTAAAATCTTTATCACGAAATGCTATGTCTCCACGCTTTCTTGCCTCCAACATATCTCTCATTTGTTGAGTCCACTCTTGAAAGGATAGCTTAACCAGTCCACATCAAAAGGGATTTAGCACCACATAATAGATAGGCATCCACAAATCTATATTCATACAATACAGTTACCTCATTTGTTCCTTCATCATCTTTGTAATGTGTCATTACCAAAATTTGATGGATAGCTGTGAGATCCATCCGGGAACAGGCATCAAACATTGGAGACAGAGGGTGCTGAGGAGTAGGAGGCCCCTCCTCATGCTTGGGAATTCCCAACATCACATAAGACGGAACCTGCAAATGACAACTCAAGATCCTCAGAGTCAGATAAAATACAAATTCTAATCTTTCATAAGAACATAACTGCAAATGCAAACAAGATTTCCATAAATGCATACAAAAAGGAAAAATGAGGCAATTTGGAGGGAGAGTGAAGGAGTACGAAACATGGCTCACATCAGGTTTATTTTGAAATGGGGCAAGTGTAGTCACAAGATCTTTGGTATTTGGCCGCTCCCTTGGTTCATATTGCAAACATCGTGAGGCAATATCAAAGACCACTGTCGCCTCTTCAGTTGAAAAGTTTCCCTCTAGATGAGAATCCATCAAGAGAAGAATGTTTTTACCCCGTATCATATCAAGAGCCTGCATACGTATAAAATATGAATACAGAAATTTTTCAAAAATAAAACTCCAAAATTTACAACTTCGAAAATATTAATAAGTAGGAGGTAGAAGTAAAGACAGGAAAAATCAAGTGGCAACAGAAATGATATTTTTATCCCTTATTCTTCATGAAGAATCTTCATATATAAATCAGGTGGAGTTATCATATCCAAGAATTGAATGATGTACAATCAAAACAAAGCCAAATGCATGTAGTTATAATCTGACCATCTGTGAGAAATCACAAATCTTTGGTATTCATACATCCAACACTTTCAAATAAGAACCCTATTTTAAATGATTGTTCAATCTTTCCCTTAGCTATCCCCATCCTAGGTTTAACCACCGAATTATATGCAGCTAAAATAGTGCCATCACTTCATTATGTACATAGATTACAGCTTTCCAAGCAACGAAAGAGTACTAAAAGGATAATTACTTACATGACTTGGAGGAATGTGCTTTCCACTAAGAAGATCCAAAAGGACAGTTCCAAAGCTGAATATAACACTTTCAGGAGTAACCCTTCCTAGAACACAGATGTTAATAAGTTAATCAAATCAAAATCAATCTATCCAGAGCATGTTTCATTCATTTACATAATACACATGTTATCATACTTAATATGGCAGGGATCATTCACTACAGGTGTTCACAAAAAGTCTGTTTCAGTGGTTTTGCATAAAATTCTGCTAAGGCTCTCCCCTCTATCTTATGAGAAAATATGAATGATAATTCAAATCTAAACATTTCAAAATAATTGACTAAATAAGTAAGTTTTAGATTTATACACACACATTAAAAGATACATACAATGCAAAGGAAGAAGATTGTTTTCTTCCTCTTAATAAGAGCAAAGAAAGAAATTAAATAATAAACAGAGTTAAAAGCAGTTACCATTTCTTAGATACGCAGGAAGTGTATATGCAAGATTGGTTAGATTTATATATACAAACTTAAAGATACATACAATGCAAAGGAAGAATATTGTTTTCTTTCTCTTAATGAGAGCAAAGAAACAAATAAAATAATAAAAAGAGTTAAAAGCAGTTACCATTTCTTAGATACTCAGGAGGTGTATATGCAAGATTGGTACTATAACTTTTCCCATCTCTACTGTTCTTCATCAAGCCAAAACATGAAAGTCGAGGATCACCATTCTGCCAAAACCATTAATAAAGTTATCAATTCACCGTATAAAACAAATACCAATACCTAAAAAGAAAAAGAGATTTGCTGCAATACCTCATCAAAGAGAACCCTATATGCATTCAAATCATGGTACAATGGACGACCTTCACTACTACAATAATCTAATGCTTCAGCTAAATATAAAGCAACTCTCAACCGCATAGCCCACTCAATAGTCTGATTCTCCCCTGTCAAGCAAGTAAAGAACCGAAATGATCTTCAAGCCAAAAAAGAAAACATTAAAGGAAAGAGTAAACCAAAAATTATGCTTCCATTAGACAATATGGCAAAACCATATGATGCCATTTGAATTACTTGAAAAATAAGAACTAAGATAATAAGCAGGATCTAACTGTTTGAGGATTAATTAGGTGGAAACAAATTTAATGAAACACATCAATGAACACCCAACACAGCTAAGTCAGAGGAAGTAATAATTGCACTCAAATTGAATTAAATTTAGTTTGTTTTTGTTCAGAAAAAAAAAAAAAAAGGTAACTAAAATAGGAACATACAGTGAAATAAATGCTTTGCAAGGGTATCATTATTCATGTACTCGGCCACAAGCAATCTCTCGTCTCCATCGCAGCAATACCCAATCAAATTCGCCACTCTCTTATGTCTCAGCTTTCCAACACCCCAAGCTTCATCCTTTAAAGAATGACAAAGAAAAAACAATATAATATCGGCAGAATTGAAAACCTAAAAATGGAAATGATTCAATGATTTGGGAAAAAAGAAAACATACCGCGAATTGTTTTGGATCGGGCCAGGCTAATTTGGTGAATTTCTTGATGGCGATCCATCGGCGATTATTGTCGTTTTGGAGTCGACCTTTGTAGACCACATTGGGGGCCTTTTCACCGCTTTCAGATACGATGAAATCGGAGCTGAAGTTGTTGGTGGCAGCCTTAAGCTCAGCCAGGGAGAACTCCGAGAAATCAGGGACGCCCCCGGCCCCACCGCCAACGGAATCCGTTCCCTTGGAAGTTTGGGAAGGGCCATTATTGGTCTGAGTGAGACGGTTGTTGTTGCTCTTGTGATGGTGGTGGTGGTTGGGATTGGTCTTGTGCAGTGAGTCGCGTCCTGTCAGAAAGGACGATTCGCAGCAGCCCATGACTCAGGGGTGAGTTGACTCAGACGACTAATATGTAACCACAGAGATTCGTCATCTTCCTTTTTTAAAAATTTATATACTTTTGTTTTTGTTTAATTAATCGAAGAGGGACGGGGAAGATAGGAAGCTTTTGGTTCTGGGGAGTTTTCAGGGAAAAGGGGCGCTCGTGTGGGTGAGACAGAGAGAGAGAGAGAGATCTAAAGATTGAGAAGCAGCGGCAGCTTTCACTTTCTTCCCATTGCTTTCTTTTCTTTCTTTCTCTCTCTCTCTCTCTCTCCTTCGTATCTTTCAGCCCTTTCTGCACTGACAAACTCTATCCCTCTCTACGTTTTTTTTTTCTTTTTTTAATAGTTTTCTATAACCATTGTAATGTCCTTTTCATGTGCATGAAGGGTGTTTCTGTCCTTTTCAACTTACTAACGTCTTATTTTCCTTTCTGTCGTTTTCATTTTATCCTTTTTTTTTTTTTCTTTTTTCCAACCAATGTTGTCGAGGGCTTTATTAATATTATTGACTGGCAACCATATATGTTAGAATTAACTTACGCTGGGGGGGGGGGGGGGGTGTAGTGCGTGTAGGAGTTGAAGGGGAGAGGGATGAGAGTGCTTTGCATATTTACATTTTTTTATGATTTGGCAGTTGCAATGACATTAGTGCTATTCTAATATAGTACGCTTTCTTTTAAAATAAGTTTGAATTTCTATATCATTCTTACTAATTAATCCTATCTTATCTTATCTTACCAGGAGCACTGCTTCAAAAAATAACAGTATAAGCATTCCGCACCCATAAAAAAATTAAAACAAAATAGAAGCATTCAAATTAATTTATGTTAAAGTACATAAATACTGTCATATTTCCTTAAATACTTAATTTAGTTTTATATATCCAAGCATAAATTTTAATGTCGAAATTTATCTTTAACTTTAAAAAAATAAAAAAAAAATTAGGTTCGATTTCAACCTCTCCCCTCTCATTTATTGTAGGATTTTGCTCTCTTTAAAAATTAAAAAAAAAAAAGGGTTGAAATTTAATTAACTTAATTTGCACCTATATTTCTCTCATCTAAAAAGCAAAAATTGTTTCCTTTTCACTTACTCATGCTTCTTTTCTCTTTCATGTCTTTAAATGACCATAACTTCATGCGTCTTATAACATTCTTAAGACTGCTATATTAAGATCAAAATATGCAAGTTAATGGAATTCAAATGTATATTTTAACATAAAAAATAGATGTGTTCATGGATTGAATTGATTAATTTTTTATATTTTTTATTTAAGTAAGTCTAAAAATATATTAAATATATATTAAATATTTTTTTAATATATTTTAAAATTAAATTAAATTAAAAATTTTTCATTTATTAAACAATATCTGAACAGTCAACTCAAACTGATATTTTTACTCACTTTATTTAAGACCAAAAAAAAAAAAAAACACTCGAATATATTTAGACTGATAAAATTAAATGCTTCGAGGTCGAAGAAGGGAAAATTAGTGTGGCCCTAGTAGCTGGCTATCGACGCTAGGTAAAAAGAACACTATAGATACAGCTGTCTAAATGTATTCTAAGCCAAGAATTTCGCTACCAATCGGCCTTTGACATTTGCATTTACCTCAACAACCGCAAAAACGTGTGAAATCTGCTTTTCTTCGAATGATATTAAGCAGAGTCAAAAAGTATATGTCTCGACCCCTTTCAACTTTCTTTGTCGCAATCCTTGGCAATATGATAACTCTTGCTTCCTTTTTGCTTTTCGGCCACATCTTATAGCAAGCGTGCAAAAATCCAAAGGTAGGATATGCATAATCAATCATAAACCGAGTGCGTGGGTTGGAAACGCCTTGCCTACTTCGGATGCTCTGTCCTTTCCACCTCTCCAATTATAACCTAACTCAAGTACTTATATGTTTTCAGTTTCAATGCGTCAATGCGTCAATACGTCTGACAAACTTCATGAAACCTCACTAGGCAGGCGAATTTCTTTTGAGTGTTGTGAGTGGAAATTTGACTCAGACGAACCCTACAGGCTTCGATGAGACTAAGGTACCAAACTCCCTGCTGCAACAATCCAATTCTACTCATCAATTAATGAACGGCTTCTGTAAACAATGAAAGCTGAGAACTAATAAAGAATAGTAATAAATAAATAAATAAAATATGGTGGTAAGCATACAGTTCAGATGATGTAAAAAATCGCTACCTTGCCAAAGCACATTGGTAATATTTTGGGACCAAATACAATCAAGCATACATATACGAGAGTACCCTATATACATAACCCTTAAAACTAGATAACAGTGTGAAACTTTGCTTCTTTCATCAGCTTGGCAGCTTTTAAACTATAAACCTGCAGCTGATGATGATAAGGATGCTTTATCAAATCTTGCTCAACCCAAATTTCAAAAGCTCTTCTTAATAAAAAAAACAAATGGGGAGAAGATGCCTACCGACCATGACTTTTCAAATTATAATTCTATTCATTGACTTGCAAGGGGAGGCCATAGTTAAGTATCCTCATCATTCAGAAGCATCAGGCTAACCAGATTTCAATTAACCAGTCTTATAGATTGCACAGATGCGATATGTTATAGCAATGAAATTTAGAAATTTAAGGAAAATTATGATGGCAACACCACAAATTAATAAAGTTCTTTCAACTGAACACTGATAATAATTAAAGCTGCACAACTAAGCAATTTAGAAGCCGGTTCAGTAACTTAACCATGACAAGGACATTCTCGATTATCTTGAGCAGTGGCCCTTGCCTCTTTAATGTTTTTATGAATATGCTCGTAAGTTTGCCTGGAGTTGGTGGCAAGCTTCTCTATTACCTGGAAAGTGTAGACCCTCTAAGGCCCCAAATAGTCCAAATTTCATCCACTAAGCCCAAATATGCCCAAGGCTCAAATTTGAGCCCAAAGTTAACCTATTCGGCAGATTTTGGGCCCACAGTTGACACGAGGCATAGAAATTGGACACAACATTGAACCTTTGAGGCCCATTTTTGCTTATTAAGGATCAAGGTTGGCCAATTTTGACCTAGAGATCCAATATTAAGCCCAAGGTTTTGCCCAATGATTACCTGATGGGCACAATATTGATATACGAATTCTAAAGTTCAGACAAGCTTGGACACAATCTTGCTAAGATTTGGCCCAACGTTTGCACCCCTGAGGCCAAGGTCGGACAAGCTTTGAGATAAGGCACAATGTTGGACCCAACGTTCCTAAAAGGCCCAGGATGGGCCTCAATAAGTTAACATTCCCTTTCAGGCTCGAAACTAGGGTGGCTTCGTGGGATCCTAAACCCGTTTAACTGCCTGAATTTGATAGTGAGACTGAGACTGGCATTAAAAACAAAAGTTATTGTTAGTCGGGGCTTGTTTATAATAAGATCACAATTTATTTTAAGGTCACGCGATATAGTGAGAAATTGAAAAAATTATAAAAATTAAAAAAAAAACAAATAATTGTAAAATAATAAAACAGGTAAACTAAAAAATATAAAAATAATTTTGTTTATTTTATTTATCTGACAAATAAAAAAATTATAAATTATACATTTTATACTTGTTTTCACCTATTCTTATAAATAATTATATTAAAATAAAAATTCAACTATAATCATGTCCTATTTTATTTTAATAAATAATATTTTTGTTATTTCTTTATTATTAACAAATAGCAAAATTATAACAATAATTAATACAAATTTTATTATTCATCTTAATAATTTTTTTTATTTTTAAGTTATAAAACATCAAGTATTTTATATTATCTTTATAATCTTAAAATTATTTTTTTAGTTATTTATGTTATATATTTTACAATTTTATTTGAATCATTTTTTTTATAATCTTTGAAATTTATTAACATATATCATAAAAATAAAAGTTACCATAATACCATTTTTATATATTTTTTTATAGATACTCTCATTGTAAATTTTGATATCCTTTTATTAAAAAAAAATTTACGATGTCTACTTAAATATTTACGTTACAATAATATTTTCTTACGATTATTCTTATCATTCATTACGTTTAAAATTATCATAACTTTTTTTAATGTATTATAACACTTTTTATCTATTTTACGTTAAATGATGTTAGCTCAAAAATTTGAAATAAATCAAGAGGGGGTGAATTGGTTATAATAAGATTTTCAAAATCAATACTTAATAATCACAAATTCAGTAAACTAATTTATCTAAGCAAATAAACATAATAAATTAGAGTAAATAAAAGATAGAGTTAAAAAATTGAACACCAATATTTATAAAAGTTTAGTCCTTTTTTTAGGCACCTACGTCCTCTCATTTAGCCTCTCTTGTCAAGGAGTTAAATCTATTATGTGTTGAAGGATACAACCTAGCTTCTCAAAGCTTTACACAATCACACTATAAACTCTTAAGGGTTATCCTTCCTCTTAAGGTCACCAACTCATAATACAAAGTTTTTGAAGTATTTTGTAAACTTTAAGAACCTCTTAAAGATTGGGTGTTTGCTAACTTAAAATACACAATAGCATAGACTAGGAAATTTAAAGAAAAACTATTAAGTATGATTTTCTGCACTATTCTCTCTTTGAACAGTTTTGAATGCTTGAACAAGTTGGTTGGTAAATAGCAATAAGTTCTTTTTAGCTCTTCTTACTCTTGCTCTGCAATGAAAGGCTTTATTTATAGGTAAAAAAAAATTGAGAACCGTTGTTTTGCATTTAATGCTTCAAACCTATAAAAATATTAGACAAAATATAGCCATTGGGGCTTTATAGGACTCAGGGGATCAATCCCCTCCATTAGAGGATCAATTGGGTCAACTTTGAAACACCCTAAATTTGTGCTTGAAATGCCTTACCCGATCAATCAGGTAATGTACCTTATCGACCCATTCTTTACGTGATCGATCCCTTATGTGGGGGGATCAATCCCTTTTTTGGATTTTCAAATGAAAGAGCTTTCTGTATGAGTAACCGATCAATCCCTTTTTATTGA